AAAGTGACATACCAGATATACGAACCAAAAAATCAAATTTCAAATATTTTGCCGTTGCAAATAAGGAATTACAAAAATGGCACAAATTTTTTTTTTTTTATGTATTTATATTTATAGGTTTAGAATTTTACAAAAGTAGCATAGTTTATAAATTTATTTATCATACGATGCCAATCAAAAGTTATTTTTTGACATTTTTGAAAAACAAAAAGTAATGAGATTTTTATAAATACATATTTATTTTATGAAATTTAGTATAATTTTCCTAAATTTTTTGTGGTTAAATTAGCTAGTGAATTTGAAATTCTATCGTAAATTTTTTAACTTACTATTTTAGTTTAAACATTTTATAAAACTAAAAATCATATTTGATTTTGAAATCATATATTTTAAAGGATATCAAACAAAAAAGTCGGCTGAAATAATTTGGGGCTTTAGCGAATATTTAGCTTTTTTAATTTTTTAAACAAAAATTATATTTAGAAAGATTATTATCGAGCAACCCTCACTGTTCTTTTAGATATTTTCCACTTTGTATCTGAGTCCTCATAATTTTAAAGATATTTGTAATATTTAAAATTATATGCTTCTAATTTAGTTCCACCTTCCATTAAAACAATTTCATATACCTTCTTCTAAAAGAAAAAGGAGTTGAATGATTTGAGAATAAAGTTCACTTAAGACATTAAAATAATAATAATAATAATAATAATAGAAAATAAAAAAAATCTAAGGCAAGCATTTAACCATATCATGTTAGATTTCCCAATAAAATTTATTTGGAAAATGGTGAATGGACGTCAGTTGCTTATACTCATTTCGATTTTGATATCAATATTTTCAGTAATTTTTTTTAACTTTAGTCCCTATCATTTTAAAATATAACCATTTAGTTTCGATTTTAATTTGTTTTAATCAATATTTTTGCATAATACCAACCATAAACTTGTATCAAAGAATTTTCATTACGTATAAAATTTAAAAAATAGGAACCAAAATAATCTACTTTATAAAAGTACAACCGCTAAAAGAAGACATTTTTTAAAGTAAAGTTATTAAAATGAACAAAATTTAAAATTACAAAAACTAAAATGAATATTTGAAAAATACAGAGATCAAAATGAAACAAAATCGAAAGTAGTATTAGATTTAAACCTGCTCTATTACTTGTACCAAGTATAAATGATAATTTGCTAACCTGCAACAGACTTATAACAGAACCAAAAATCAATTATCCTCTAAAAGAAAGCAATTTATGTTGGAAAATGAAACTCCAGAAGATCTGAAAATTCAAGTGTTATCAGGAAGACAAAGATTCAACTAAAAAGTTGGTGTTTCTGTTCCAGAAAGAGACTAAAATATTGGTGTTTATAAAGGCAATGTATTGCAAACTTACCAACTTAGTTTGTGAACTTCATCAATCTAACTAACTCTTCATATTCCAACTGTAACTATTTAGAAACAAAGACAACAAAACTGCCTAACAGGTGGTTCGGTATAATTCGCTGAACGACGGCGGAGACGGGCAAAATGAATCTGCCATTATCAGATAACTAAGCTTGAAAATCCAAGAAAATATGCAATTTCTGCAGAAGCAACTCGCGAGTACCGAAGGCGGGCTTTTCGCCCGTGATCCAATCTTTCTCAAGAACACCAGACTTGGCGCTACTCAGCATCTCGTTATGGAATGCAGAAACAATGAGATAGATCGAGGCCCTCAACACGTCTGCGATCGCATACACCTTTGAATGCAATGGACCGCTTTTCTTTTTACCAACTGAAGCGTCTACTCTCCTGATGCTGGATGTCGCCCATTTGATACTAGCCGGGCCGAGTAAGTCGTGTGGGGATTGTATATTAGTCTTCTTCCCCATCAACACTTCAACAGCAAGCAGGCAAGACAAGAGTGTTGACATAACAGAAGCATTACTACCAGAGAGTTGGGCAACCCCAAATCTATCTTCCGAATGTGAGCGTGCAGTTAACGTAGAAACCGTTCGGGCACACCATGCATACAACTGCAGAATTTAGCGAGAATGATCAGTCATATTCAATAACCACGCCAATGCCAAAGAATGCAAGTGAAAGCAAAATAACGACAATAAGAACAGAAACAGAATGGTGATACTCTCAGACATTGGTCAGGCTTAAGAATTTGAAAGTAAATACATTACATGTTTATGAGTCTGTTATTCTTAAAAAGATTCCCCTAGAAAAGCTAAAACAAGCAATGAAGAGAATAGTTACTGCCCACAACCCGAATTAAAATATATCCTTACCTGAAAGTTTTTCAGAGTTTCCAATTGTTTTACGTCGAAGTGAGAGTCTTTTGGCGGTAATAACTGTTTGGATAGTTGGGAGGTGATGTCCGCAGAACCGTCCAAACCTTCACCTAAGTTCAATGCAAATTGCTCCAGAGGCTTCAAGGATATGGATATAACTCTCTTATATGTTTCCCCGCTTTCTTCGAAAAAAGCAGCTCTCCTCCATATATCCACGTTATTCTCGCAAACCATACAGAGATCAAGAAATGCAAGATATTGCAAAAGAGACCCCGAATTGCTGTCCTCCAAAGCTGCAAAGAGGTACTCGCTAGGATTTGTTTCTGCAGCTGCAGATCCCTTTGGAGGTGCAAAAGCAAATCTCTTGGTATGTAGGACCTAAATTGCCAAATCCAAAAAAAGAAAAAAAAAAAAAAAGGCCTGTCATACCAATGTTCTGTTAAAAACTGGTAACTAACCATACTTAATGGTAGAACAAAATGGATTATATCCATGGAGTGTAGTAAGATCTGTTTAAACATCTCTATCAAAAAGTTACTGAACAAAATCGATTGTTCTTTAAGATAGTGACTCAGACTGGAGTGGAGTATCTAGCCCGTTGTGATAATGTCATCTAAACCAAACCTCTCCATTTCCTATTAAGATGGATGAAATCTCTTTAATCTATGTGCCATGCTGTCTTTTTTGCAACAAAAGACCCTTTGTAGAATTTAAAACAAGACGGTAAACGTCACAGAGTTGCAAGTAAATGCTTCTATAATCTATAGCCTCTTAAAGATCCAAAAACTCTACTTAAGCCAGTATGGAGTTGAGTGATGTTTGTCTTATAATTAAGTCTACCAGATGACCAAGGAGGGGAAAGAACTCATCAAACTCACAGAGTCGGCATATATCTGCTGCGAGCCAAAAATACTCAACAAAATGTTCTCATTGTGTAAATCGCAGTCATAATCCAGAAAATTTGGAGTTAGTTCATTTGAAGTCTCAATGTGTCATCATGGAATGCCTGAATTGCCATGGAGGTTACATGAAGTGGGGGCATCAGTGTACAGTTTTCCCCATTCGAGATCAATCATGAAGGGAAAAAAAGCAATATAGATAAAAGGTTTAATACATTAAATCAATATTATGAAATTTGTGAAAAGAAATTCCTAAAAACCAAAGGGGACTACAAAATGTCTCAATTAATGACATTGATAAGAAAAGGGTAGGTAATGAAAATCCAAGGGACATCAAAGCGGCGATCTATTGGTAAGGATTGTTGCAACACCTACACAGTTTTGAGGAAATATTTTACCGACCACTTAATTAAGAGTATGCATGATAAAGATACATTATTTAAGCAACAGATCTTAATTTGGCAATCAGTTTCTTAGGTTACTCTAGTTGTAATGGTTCTCCAAGAGATTGTAAAACATAAAATTGGCAACAAAATAAAGTATGAGATTATGATGCCGTAAACATAGGGGAAATCTTCCAGTAGTACAGGATTAGGTACTTCCTTTGTTCACACTATATTTTTGCCTTTATAAATAATTCTTTAATATTTGTGGACCTTACATCATTTTTAATATGATACTTACATGGCAAGTAGTGAATGGAACGAGTATCTATACCCCGTAGTAAGTGAAAGTTTTCCTAAACATAATTGCTATCGAGTATCAAAAGCTAAAACACAATATATGAGCAATGAACTAACCCGATGTAAGTGGTGAGTCAATTCCCAAGAAAGAAATACTGCAAAACTTCCAATGAAAACAATAGCCTGGTTAGCGACAAACTTCCTGACTGTAACATTTCTCTTAAATTGATCTGGCAGAAGCACCATTAATACTGCTGAAAATATGAAAGCTGCAGCAGAAAGTTTGGAAGCCAATGTGGTAGCTGAGGGAAGACCCATCTTGAAGCTAAAAAAGGGGGGACGCTGTGGATAAAAGCACTTGGAATCAATGAACAGGAAACTTAATAGTTCTACATTGAAATGTGCATGAACACAAATATCATAGATAGCCTGTGAAGGGAATATAGTATCTTAAACTTCTACCGAACTAAAGCACGTCAAAAGAGAACAACACTATGCTTCCACACCGTAATAGTACACGGTAAGTCAATGATTACATGGAGAAATTTCAAAATGAGCAAATAAGCATAATTGTGGCAATTAACAAACAACAACAGACATCTAGCATCAGTCTCTAACTAATTCAGAAATAAACCACTATAACAAATATTACAAGACAGATTACATAACCGTGTCATCTGGAGAGGATACAGAACCATGAATGATTACACAGTATATAAAGGAAACACATATACAGATAAACCTAGATTGTTTGTGGCTAAACCAAAAAGTATCCTCCAAAAATTAACCACAAATGATGCCCAAAGAAGTAGTAAGGTGCCCTGCACTCAAAATCTCCAAACTGAGCTGGGGTTCCCTCTCCAAGTACTTCAAACTCCCAATAGAAAATATAAATATATAAATAGCTAACATTTAGTTTAACAATCAAGATATATGCAGCATCGCCATTATATTTAACAACGAAATCCCAAGTAAGTTTCGAACATATACAAATTCAATGCTTTTTTATATCATTCAAGCCCTAATATTTCAAATAGACAATCAGAATTCCATTTACCAACTCAGAAAAGACCCTTAACAACACCATTTTGATGGGTTCAGATATCCATATGTCCTTACTCGAAACCAGCCGATTGAAACATAATTATTCATCCTATCTTTTCACGTCTTACTCCTCTAGCGTATAAACAAAAGATAAACCATAGAAATACAGGAGTTGAAAATGATGCTGATGGAAATTACAAAGTGAGGACCAAAAAGTAACCTGAATGATTGGGAACGTTAGAACCCAACTTTTCTTGTAAACATAGAAAGAGCCATAAATCAGACCCATCGAAAGACCCGTAAGCCACGCACTTCTGAGACCGTCTGATTTCCCCCAACATATAGAAACCGCCGCCAAGGAACCCGAAACCGCAGTTGCCAGTACAAACAGAACTAAATACAACGAAACCGTCGCCCGACGGCGAAAATCCTTCGAAGCGGACGCCGATGAGGCGGTGCCGCCGCCTGCAAGTACAAGAAAGCGAACGAGCCCAAAAGCGAGCTCAAGTGGCGCGGCAGGACGCTCGAGCTGGGGAGAAGCAAGGAGGGAGAGCGAAGAAGAAAAGAGGAGCTGAGAGAGATGAAATGTAAGAAAAGTAAGGAACCCAGCGAGCAATGAAGCAAAAGGGCCTGATGGGTTCCTACTCCCACTTGAGGAATTGCTACCAGAAACGGAAGAAATGGCTGAAACGAAGATTTTGAAGAGGAAGAAGACGAAGGTGGAAGGAATGGACTGCCAAATAAGGAAACCCAGAAAGCGATTCTTGACAACCATGTCCGGTGGTACGAAGAACTGAGAAGACGAAGGCATTTTTCAGTGTATGCAAAATCAAAATCGATGGAGGCCGCGATCGCCGCTCTTGAGAGTGGCGATTAATCAACTGGGTTTGCTTCAAAGAATCGCAGCGAGCTCTTCGTTAGGAGTTGGGAGCGGGTTTAGTCGGCTGCTTCGAAGGCGATTTCAATTTCCATCTCTCAAGTCTCAAATTCAATTGTAGCGCACAACAAATTACAAAGACAAGTTCCTTTTAGGGGGGAAACGTTAATTATTATGTAGCAATCGCAACTCATTTTCCTTTTCATATTCTTTTGTTTTGAAAATTCTCTCTCTCTCTCTTTTTTTTTTTTTGCTATGTCATGAACTACCAAATTTGAACATTTTTTCTTAGTTTTGTTGTTTTTTTAGTAATGTGATGTGAGTTAGCGTTGATTTGAGATATATACCAATTACTTTGTATTTATATTTCTTTTTCTATTCCTACTGTGTTTCTACGTTACTTCTTAGAATTTCAAATATTTTATTTTAAATAATTTAACATTTATATTTTAAATTATTTATTACAGCATGCAAGGTGAGTATTTAAACTTATATCATTTCGGTCGATATATATATATATATACACATTAGATGTGTTCATGTTGGTCTATTTTATTTAGTATCTTTAGATACGTTTGTAAATATTAGTTAAATTATAATTTTTAATTTATAAATTTTGTGAACATTGATAACTGTATCTTGATTGTGTTTCATCCCCTCTAACCCTAAACTTTCAAAGTTGTGTAGGTTTTGATTTTGAGGAGTAACAAGTTTAACTTTAAATTTTCTCTGTCCCTAAATTTTACAAGTTAATACTTAATAGGTCAATGACTTATTTTGACATAAAATTATCATTTATGACTTTAGGGTGAATTTGGTATATCCCTAATTTAATCATTTCAAAAGTTTTTAATTTTTTTTTTTATTTTTAAACACTCTTTATGAGATAGTTTTATTTTAAATACTTGAATAATGGTTGCGTTTTCTTCAACGGTGTGTTTGGGTGACCAAAATCATTTTTGTTATTATCAAAATCAATTTCCTTCCTCATATTTGAGAAATTAAAAAATTTGATTTTAAGAAAGCTTAAAATCACTCTAAATTGATTTTTAAGGTATCATGTAGATGATGATTTTGGAAAATCACTTAAAATCTACCATCACTGTCAGACACACCATAATTGTATTACATCTAAAAGTAGTGATTCTCCATCAATCGCTTTTTAGATAATCAACTTTATTTCGTTATTACAAAAATAATTTTTATTTGTTACCGAACAATCTGATTTTGAAAAAATAATATTTTTAGCCCTCCAAGATTACTTAGGAAGTTAACCCAAAAATATTCTTGCAAATTAAGCAAGTGACCATTTGAAAATTCCTACATGATAAGGACTTTTATGATGAGTTAGAAGAAAGTAACTCAAATAAAACAATACACATTCAAAACTTGAAAGAAGGAAATAACACTATTTCAATTTCATTAATTACTTACACAAGACATTGAAGAATTTCCATTCTTGAACACACATCACTTGCCTATCTCTAATGGCTATTGAAACTAACAAATCAAGTGGAAGACCCATAAACACAAAGTGAGGTATTCATTAATCACAACCTGAGCTTCTTGATCCCTAATGCAAGTTACCCTATCAACATATTTTCACCTAATGCAACGACGAACAAAGCGATAACTGCGTAAACTTGTACTAGACAAATGATCCCGTTCTCGAAACATGAGACCTTGCATCTTCGAATAGATCTTCCTCGGCCTTCTCGGAGCTCAAACTTGGTGGGATGAAAGATCTGAATACTTGTTCCATGTTGGGAACCTCCTTCAGCTCGTTACGAGCAACTTCGAGAGCTGTATTGGCGAAGGATCGATAGAATTTCTTATGACAAAGGTAGGAATATATCAGGGAAATTATGGGAAGCGGAATTAGGATTGGAGCATATAAGAATTTCTTCACCCCGAAGAAACCGAACATGGTAAGTTGGTATAGTAAGAGAGCCGCTATTATACGATTGAATATATGAGGCCACATTCTTCCATATGTCTCATAGGAAGGAACATAAACTTTGAGGGCCTGTAAAATCAGGTCAAACATCAACACAATACCAAAAGAATGACCTCAGAAACAACACAAGGCACGAAATCGACTCAAGATGTTACCTGATTCCGAAGAATAAGCCATCCAAGACCGAAATATATGACACCAAACGGGACGATCAGAGGCGTTATAATGGAGTAGCAGAGGACTATGGTAAAAATAAGCATGTCACCAGGAACTCTAGTGCCATAACCAAGATCTCCAGGAGCCCAGGCATCTTTCACCTCAGCCTCAGATTTGCAAAGGAATTTCTTCTTCAAATGGAATATGATAAGAGGAACTATCCTAGATAGTTCAAGACCATAACCGACGAAGAACCTAACACACGCAACCGTAATCAGTTCGCCAAATTAAGATTCTTAATACATGCATTAGAAATTTTATAACTACTAATAATATCAACATGATTATGCATACATAAAGAACCATTTTGGAAAAAGTAATAAACTGTTCTCAAACGAGAAAGTATCAGATATCGTTAAACCGAACAACAAGAGAGAAGGGTCTTAAAACAGGAAGCTTACTTGAGAGCCACAAAGGTGAGAAAGAAAGTTGCACTGCCTGGGAGGCTACTTGCTAACAAGGGAATAAGAGAGTTTGGATCCTTCTGGATGCTCTTGAATGTTCTGAACAGTGTACCACTCAAAGTAACTCCAAGGAAAACATTCAACACTGAGAAATAGAAATATTTCCCAGAAGCAGCCCTCACCGCGTGTCCCTCCGAAGGAATTCCCTCAGCTTTGGATAGAAAGAGTAGCAACTTGGGCAGCATAGCTAAGAAGATAATCAAAGCTATTTGAGGTAAGTAAGCTGCCAAAACCACCTTGACTGCATTTATCTCCAAAACCGGCTTCAAAAACGGCAGAAGTTTCATCATGTTGTCGAGCGTCGTAAAAGCAGAAATGATACCAATTGGAATCATGTAAAAGAAGATGATCAATGCCACGATGACATACACAACATACTGTCTAACTTGCCTCTGGATAAAATTTATGTAAAGATTAGGCCAGAGAACCTGGTGGGGTTCAGGAGCTGCCAGAGCAGTCCATTTATCAACGATTTGTGCATGCAAGTTTTGAGCTGCAGAAGCTGCGGTGACCCGGTTATTGAAGAAGACTAAAGCAGCATTCTTCTGCTTCTGCCTGAGTGTAGCCTTTTGTTCGGATTCCAATTTTGGGACTAGCTCATTGATCTTCTCGGAATAGAATTCTATGCTGTCAACTTTTTCACCAATGAGACCGAGGAAGCCGGTTTTATGTGTTGGTCTTACTCCTTCTGGCTTGGCTTCGGTTTTCGAAGACGCAAAGACTGCTTCGGACCGTTCAAGCTTCTTCTTGTATCCTTCCAACTCCTCATACAACTTATTGACCTGCTTGACATTTGAACATCAACAAGATGGCACATAGAAATTAAATGTGGAAGAAGAACTCAAAACCATCACTCATACAGAGTCAAATATGATCTCATCTGTTGCTCTTTTCTTTAAATGTGTTGAATACAATTCACATCTATCCTAAATATCCTAAAAGAGAAAGGTTTCAACCAGAAAAACCACACATTATGAGTCAAAATACAAGTTTGGATCACAATATTGCATGATATCAAGCAAAACATAGAGAAATGAAAGCAGAGTCACAAGCAACCCTGAGAAAATGAATGACAAAGGTTCAAATAATGTGGAAGAACTCAAAACTATTACTCGCACAAGCAAATATGATATTTATTTATTGCTCTTTTCCTTAAATGTGTTGAATACAATTCACATCTTATCTCAAATATCCTAAATAGAAATATTTCAACCCGAAAAAACGGCACATCAATTGAGGTAAATACAACAATAAGCTCCATTCAAAGTAACAAGTTCAGATCAGAATGTTGCACAATATCGAGGGGAAGTAAGACAAATGGAGAAACTGACATACTAGAGTCACAAGCAATCCCTGAGATAATGAATGAGAGAGGTCCAAAAAGTAAACTGTTGAACGCACCTCTTTGTTGTCTGTGACGATCATCGACCGATAAAATGTATCGGGATAGATATTCCTAAAGAAAGAATCGATCTGTTCCTTTCTAGTTTGACCTTCAGGAACTGGAGGGATATCTCTAACAATAATAGCAAATTGTTCAGCCTTTATTTCTGGAGACATTAGAGCTTCAGCTCTCAGAGTTGAAACATGATTGTAAGCTTTCCATGTCAGGTAATATGCCACAATGGAAACCCAGTATGCGGCCAGTAAGAAGGCCCACAGCCGATCACTCCCCAGCTGCATATAAAAAACAAGTCAAAACTCAAATTTCAGAACCAAATCAACACAAAGGCCAAGCCAGCAATTCTAGTTTTCTGAAAAATTAGAACCCCAAACAAAATCGTTATCAAACAGAACATGGGTGTTGCTTACATTAACATTTCCGATGGATAAGTTATCAAGTTCACTGAAAGTCCCAGCACTCAGGGTGCTGTTTTTTGCAGCATTCTTAATACCATCATCAGTAACAGCAACTGGAATAAGAACTGGCAGCAGAATAACGGCAGACAACACAAAAATCCCCAGCACTGAAACATTTCAAAATTCGAGAAAGGAATGAGAAACAGGGCAGCAATAGAAAAAGAAAAAAAAAAACTCCCAAAAAGGCATGGTTGAAGTTGAAACTGAAACATTCCAGAAAGAAAGAAAAAAACAAACCAGTGGCCATAAACACAAAGTAGACGGCAGTATCAACCCCTGACATAGAAATCACATCCTGCTCAGAAGTTGACAGAGCTTCCTGAATCCAGGCAAAGGGGCTCCGGGTCGTGGACCCGCCGGTCGGATCCAAGCCCTTGAGGATCCGATTCGGGTAATAAACGACATGGTTGGCAGGTTTAGCAGAAAGCCAGGCGAAAACCACCATCAGAACCAGAAATATCACAAACGACGTCGCTAAAGACGTCAAAAACGAATTGAAATCCATCTGGGTGTTGCTCTAAAAGCCCAATTTCTTCACTCCGGCGCCGATCTAAGAATGTAGAAGAGGGGGGGGCAAGTGAAGTGGGTTTTATGGGGTGAGTTTCCCTTTGGGTCCGTTTCTTTTTTGGGTCATTCAAAGAGGGAAAAAGTAACCGTTGGAAAACGGTGGTTGGGTGGGATAATTATAACGAATGGATGAAGAAAATGCCATGGCCATAGAGGAAGAGTGAGCTTAAATATCTGATTATGGGTGGGGATGAATTGGAATGAATTTGGATGATTTTGAAGTTAGCTGGATGTGGGGTTGGCTCCGCGTTTCATCGTTTTCTTTCTGTGCTTTGAATGCAGAGGGGGGAGAGAGAGAGAGAGAGAGAGAGAGAGAGAGAGCGACTGGACTGAAGAAGCGGATAAGAGGGAAAATGGTGGACGAAGCGAAGACCATGAGACAGGGAAGGCTTAAATGACGGAAAAGGCCTTCTTCTTCTTCTCTCTCTCCACATGGAATCGGGTGCTTTTGATGGCTATAAAATTTCTTTTAATATTATCGTTTTCTTATTTAGATAAAAAAGAAAATCGGAATTACAAAATGAAAATGTGAAAAATATTTAAACATTTTGATTACCCAACTCATCATTAGTGGATTAAAACATATATTTTCGATCCATCTTTATATATTGTTGTACTAAAAAAATAAAAAATATAAATTAATTCATCTAATTTATAAGTTAAATATTGAATATATAAATTCGAAACAATTTTTTTGAGTTCAACAATGACGGAGATGTGAGATAGAATTAAAGATTGAATTGAAAATTTTATTGTAACATTTTATATATGATCTTTTATTTCTAAAAAATTTAGGAAAACTAGAGAATAACTATAGAATATTCAAATATTTTACTTAATTTGTTGAGTTGAGACAAACTAAGGGTTATAATCGACTTTTAAGATTGTAATAAGTGTTTTAAAAATAATTGATACATGAATTTGAATCTTCCATCTATAGGAAAATTGACTATCATCCAAATTGTTAACGCTTGGTTTTTATTTGGGAGTTACTATATTTATATTTAAAAATCCAAAAAAGAAAAAAAATTTTGAATGTATTGATTAATCTCTGGATTTTTTAGAGTTGCCCGCCAAGTCTTCTTTTTTTTTTTTACAAGTTTTTTAGGGCCCACCTTGTTTCATAAGAGATATTTAAATTATTCCAATGAAAGTATGTTAACAAAAAAATGGTATATCCCATCCAATATTTAAAGCCATCAAATTGATTGCCTAAAGTTTGGAATATGCACTTTCGTTTATGTAAATCCCTTATTCTTCTTTTAGAGAATGGTTCGTTAGGTTTCCTCATTTGGTAGTCTTTCCTTCCTTCATGGGAGGAAAGATATATCCTTCATCCAAATTTTTGCTTTTAAATTAATATATTATATAATTAGGACATATTTAATTTCACCGTAATTTCAATTTTATTTCAACTCAACTTTGTTAACTTCAACATAACTCAACTCAACTGATTTAGATATATATCATCGATCAAAATATTCGAAGCGTGACGTCCGAGTCGAGAGGAGGGGTACATGAATGAATCAGTACCACATCCGGATAAGAGGGATTATGGACAATTAGGTGCCGAATCTAGATTCCAAATACAAATATAACTCAATTGATTAAGGTACCTCTATCTAACCAAAATGTCCCACATGTAGTAATAAAAAAAATACTTATAATTGCAGCTACACATTAATTGCTTCACATGTATGATTAACATGGAACAATTATTCAATTAAAAAGAAAACATGAAATAATTATTGAATATATAACGTTCGGTAGAATTTAATAGTCATTAAAAAAGTATTCAAAGATTTTTGTACCGTTTATCTCTTTTTCCTTTTTTTTTTTTGAAATTTATTCTCTGGTTAACGATTTCTGTTATTAGAAAAAATCGCTAAAAGGGCATTTTAGTCGTTTCCAAGCTAATATCATAAATTATCCGTGACTGCAGACAAAATCTTAGAGGTACATCGACCAACAAACACCACGCGAGCGTACCCATCGCTACAGTAGCACGCGCCACCTCAACTTGCCACGTGTACACAAATAAACATCCCTAGCGTCCAGTCCAGGGAGCGAGTATCAATAATTTGTACTCGCAGAGAGAGAGAAGCTTTTGTTAGCGAGTGGTCCCGACAGAATATAACGACGCGCGTTCAACAGCGGTAACGGCCGCGTAGAAACCGTTTTTTGTCCCAATGGAGGGCGTGTGTGACACGCGCCAGAGCTGCCGACAGAGGACGGACGGACGGAAGGCGAATTTGGACCGTTTGTAGGTAGAAAAGACGGGAGTGGGACCCACAGAAAAATGTTGCCTTTTATTTTCGTCTTTCGATTACGCGTCCGGACGACGCAAGTGCCAGCGGGGCAGACGGGTGTCGTGTCGGCAACGACTGACGGAGGAAGCAAGTTGGTAACTGACACGTGGACATAGTCACTGTCACGTGCGGATGAATTTTTTTAATTCCACACCTCTCTAACTTTGATTTTTGTTCATTTTTACCAATAAATTTAGTGAGTTTTATAAAATAAAATAAATTTAGTGAGTGAAGTATTATGTTAAAATTTGTTATCAAAATAAATCAAATAAAAATAAAAGTCAAGAATAAAAATTAAGAGATCAAAATAATTATTTCTAAAAGATATAAAGATCAAAGTAGGATTACTAAAATGAATAAAAATTTAAAATATAGAGATTAACAGTAACATTTTGAAAATATAAATATTAAAATGGAGTTGGATAAAAAATAAAAATAACATTGAATAATTAATAGAAATAAATAAACGGAAGCATAATTCAACGACATTTAATTAAGAATTTTTTAAAATTAAACATATGGGACCCGGAGTGCAAAGAGCCAATGGAGTTGTATGAATTTTGGACTCCACAAACTTCAAAACTAAGCTTCACACCTTTCAAAAAAGAAAAAAAAACCTAAGCTTCACTACCCCCAAAAATAATAATAATAAAGTTAAGGAATCATTTACTTATTTTATTATTAATTTTTTTTGGCAAATTACAATTTTATTGAATTTAACGTTTTATCTATTGATTAAAAATGATAAAACAATATTTTTATTTATATTTTGAGGTAAATTAGAAACAATAATAAGAAACAAGGAATTTATTTTTGTTGTTTCCAAATTATTATACAAGTTTAAAAATGTTTCTAAAAAAATGAGAAATAAGAAATATGTAATTATCAAATACTTTAATATTTTTAATAAAATTGGTAACGAGATGTTACCAAATCTAATTAACTTATTTCATCTCATTCGCAAACTAATGGTAAACGAAATTCTTATTTTGCTTGGAAGATTATCCTTGAAGTTAAGGAGAAACTTCCTCTTTAATATCGGGATCGAACTCATAACTTATTGATTGAAGATATATGCTAATTAATAATTACCATTCACCGACATTTGTTTTGGCAACGTGTTTTTTCTTTTATCAAAATTGAATGGCATTATCATTATTAGAACATGTTATTAATAATCTATATGATTAACATATAGAATTATAACATTTTGCCTTGATTCATCATAGAATCTTCAAAATAAAAAAGAAAATGTATTGATGAGCATGTTGTCTAAGGAAAAAAAGATGTATTGATGAGTTGGTGGCCTTCAGCTTTAAGTAGGGACGAGCTCGGGACATGTGTTCCATTTCCATAACCTTGGGTTGAAAAACATATCTATGTTTCTTTTATTCCTCGTTCTATTTTTTTTTTCAAAACATTTCCAGATGTGTGTTTAATAAATAATAAAATCAGGTTTCTTATTTATTCTTACTGTAGTATCATTTTATTATTCTTGACTTATAAAATTTATGAAGAGACAATGAATGAAGAATTGTATAATATTTAAGGTGTCACTACATACTTATTCAATATACGTTTTTTTCCGTAATATAACTTAAATTCTTATATATAACACCTATACAAGTTTTGTGTTAAAATGCAACTTTATTTCAAGAAAAAAAAAACAGAGAGAATAGCTTTTTAAAGCAATTTTCAAATAATAACTCAAGTTTAAAAATTTGAAGCAAGAACATCCAATGCTGTCAATAAATTATTTATCTCATGCATAAAACCTGATAGTGTATATGTTATCAATGTTTGAAGTAATTTTTTTTATACCAGATATATTTGGTACCATACTACACAGGGAATATCATACTTTCGGTCCCTAGACTTTGAAAACTAACGCATCAATCACGAAGTTTGATAAGTGGTTCGATTTGATCATTCAACTTATTCTAAAACTATTTTATAAAGCTTGAGTGTTCAATATCGAACCAAAGCGAATCCTAAATAATTCTCAGTAAATTATTTAGATATCTCACTGCAACCCATTGTCCCAAACTAAAAATATATCATACTTATGGCTGTGGGTTTAAGATATTCTCATACTAGGGTGAAACCCATTAATAATATCCAAGGCCACAAGTAACAAATGTAGGAATCAAGCTACTTCATATCAAAATGCTCATTCCACAGCATAATATATACAAGGAAAACTGATGTTGGTGGAACAAAAAATTAACAATTATAATGCATCATAGTTTAAATTCATGACACCTACACTGAATAATAATAAACACAGGTAGAAATACAGTGGGAAAAATTGTGGAAAATCGTCACCTGAAGTTGCAACAGTGAGCGTGACCCTGCCCCAGCTTATCCCACAGACAGATTATCTGCCTTGGAGATTGATAATGTGCCGTAAAATAGTCCTCCATACACCCATACTGGCAGAATTTCCAGTTGTGAGAGTACTGGACCGCGGCCACGGTACCGTTGAACTGCTCAACCCACATTCCCATGCTCACATCCTCCATCTTGAATATCTGCCAGACCAAAACAACCCATTCAGTGCACAAAAAAGGTGCAGACAAAGAAACAGACAATAAGGTTCGTCTTCGAACTGACCCTCAGGCTCCTGTTTTCATGTTGGGAGACAATGTATTTAGCAATGTCACTAGAAATGATATATCCTGGCCCATTGGCATATGGAGGATACACTTCTTCTGGCCATTCCTGTTATTATACATGAGAATAAATCATTAGCATAATAAAGGAGGATACAAAAAGACGGTTGAAAGCTTTTTGTTAAAAAGTTGAGAGAAAATGACAGGACACCAAGAATAAGTGTATATCGGAGGAAACGGGTCAGTCGAGGCGGTGTTTAGATTGTGAGTTAGATAAGTGGGCCCCACTTCGGTTTTTAAATGATGAGACATAGGAGTTAAAGAGCTATCTGATCCTCCATAAGTTTATAGCTTCTTGTTGATAAATGATAATACTAAGTTCTTTCGATCAGATTGATGAAAAGTCATCCAATTATATTTTCAAGTAGCAACACTGTGCTAAACATGATCTGATTGATGAAAAGTTATCCAGAAAAACTGGTGGGCTAGCCTTTGTAACTCAAGGATGGCACCAAATGGAACAAGCACAGAATAGCCAAATTTTCGATGCCCACATATTTACCTCATAAGTGACTGCCCATTTTCCATGTCGGAGAGGGCGATGCAAGAGGTTGAGATTGCCCATGTATAGAGACTTCTTGGATGAAACACCGCTGATCTGTTTTAAAACAGTGTCCACCCTCACAAAGGTGTCATCATCACATTTCATAACATATGAAGCCGTCAAATTCACAGTCTGGAAGGAAAAAAGTGGACTTTATATTACGAAGTCCTATGAAAAATATCCAAATAATAATCAACAGAAGAAGTAAAATGCGAACTCACCCCAAACTCGCATATAGCAATAGTCTTGAGAACAACAAGCTCATAGCGATCCATGAAGGGCAGGATCACAATATCACCAAAGTATTCAGCTTCCTTCTTCAGCACAGCATTGACCTCCTTCCGTGGATTCTACATGTGTGAGTATACGTATAAGGAGCAATAAAAAATAACAATAACGAAAATAAGAACGAAATAACATGAATGAAAAATAAGATGACTATATGCTAAGTAATCCTGAGTGCCAAGGAGGATGGGACTTGGGAGAACTGCAACTGAGACATAATCTCCCATTAAAGTGTGAACCACTCGGCAAATGAATAAGATAGAATTATAACTACGTGCTACTTCTGAATTTAATGAGGATTTTCCCTTTGGAAAGTATTAGGTCATCTACAAACATATAGAAGTCATTTCTTAAAATCTAAATTCCCTTTGTTTGCCATATAGGATAGCAACCAAGAGAATGCTTCCATAACAAAGAAAAGATGCATGGCAAACATCTCTTCCCCAGGAAGAAAACCACTAAGTTCCCCATTAATGCTTCTACTTTTAATATCATAAGCCGCTGTCACCTTCTGGTCAACAAGAATGGCATTTCCACAAAGCTTCATTGTGCCATTGTGGGACTGTGAGGTTAAAATACAGCAAAGGTAAAGGATCATTCCTATTACTTGAGATTGCAAGGGTAGATGAGGTGTGGGTAGTATAGTAGTTACTGATGCTCCTTCATCCATTTGAGTGGCATATGAATCTTCCTAGGAAGCACTAACAAAAATATTTTTGACTATACGCACAGGCAACGAGTATTATAAACGTAAACCAACTCTATATCATGTGTGTAGATTGGGACAGTTATATTACATATCGAGATTAAAGGAATATCTGCCATAAGGGACTGGATTTAATCAATCTGTTCAAGGTTCAAATTCCTTCAACTTTAGAAGAGTTACTGTTCAAAGGGAACAGTTCTAGCAATCTCTTAAAGAGCCCAAATACAATGTTCTGGAGTACAAAACTTCTAAAACCATAAAATCATAAGCACCACTACAAAAAGGATATTGCAATAAAGTTTTTTTATAAAAACAAAAAGGATATTGCAATAAAAAATATAATTTCTGAGAATCAATGTTTTCAAAAATTTTATTTAATTAGATTTGGCTTCATAAACAGTCATTACACCTTATCTACTGAACTAGAATGAATTTGAAGCAAAACCAAAATAAAAATCAATTGGAATGAAATAAGAGAGACCTATAAGTGAATTGACATAGTGAATCACTCCAGGGGTACAAAAACATTATTGGTGAAGATGAAAGAAAATAACTCTATTTCCAGTAAGTAAACAAGTCTATAGCATATTACATATACAGGACAATAGGAGTTGGGAGAAATATAATTATAAATTAAATCGTTGCTTTAAATCTGCATCACAAAACTTGATGTCTAACCTTTTTTTACTTGACTTAGCTCCTTAAAAGTGATGTTAGTAAAGCTGTAGCATCCAACTCACAAGATTACAATACAACATTTAAGTCCACAAATGCTTCTTTTAAATGGAGAAGTTGGGCGGAAGAAGAGACCACAAATGCTTCTTTTAAAAAAAAGTTTATCAGTGTAACTAAACCTTGCGTGCTTTCTTATTGTTTTCCTTTTCATATGTAAACCTATTCCATTGTCAGGGGAACATAGCACATATAGCTTTTGTTTCCATCCAAAAAAAATATATTTCCAGGATAGATTTAAATAAAAAGTTATGAGATTCTTCATCATGTGGAGACATTAAAAAGACCAACAATTACAGAAACTACTATTCTTCTTTCTAATCTACTTTAATATATGTACCGTAAAAGGATGAATACAAGAGCCATACCAGTGCAACAAAGAAGCGAACAACTACATTTGATGCCTTGACAGCTGAAGATTGCATCCAAGTTTTCCTAACAGCCATTCGCTCCGCAAAGTGATTAGTGGCAGATAGAACACCAATAAAAAGACGAACAGAACTCTTAGGTAAAGGCTGAGATTTCCACTTCTCTGACATCTCAAGAACTCGTTGGGGAGAGAAGCTTGGATGAGTAGTAGGAAGAGATGTAGCATATGCGGAATGAATGTCCACGTCTCCTTTAACTGCTAATCCAGTTGCATCTTCAAGCGTAAACCCCTAAATGAAAGCCAAAAAAAGATACAAGAAAATTAATATTAACAAGATGGGAGAGAAAATCTGTACCAACTGCAACAGTAAGACAAACATCAACCACAAATGAATATTAATAGAAAGTGAAACAGCTATCTGCATCTTCCCCCTTCTTCAGATACTTACGAGGCGATAGGGAAAAGAAGTCAAGTGCCGACCACCAACATTAATATGGTATCCATCAACACCAGCCCGTAGTGTCAGGATAAACAATCTGCCCTCCATAAAAGGAAATGGCCAGGTTACTTCTGGCTTCTGCTCTCGCCCTATGAATCTCTTGAACCATGAGGTTGTTTTCGATTCTTTTGAGTCTATAATATCACTCCTCACCCATTTTTCACATCGACGATTTCCATCAACTGTCAAATTAAAAGAATCAAAGGGAGCAAAAAAATCAGATGGTATATGGCACTATAGCACAGCTTGAAGAATGAACAAAAGTGAGGAATTGGGGATAAAGGTGACTCGAAAATTAATTATAGAGAATCTGATAAACTTCCATCTACTCTACTATAGCAATATCAAAGCAGGACTAGAAAACTAACTTTGTATGTGATAAGGTAGAACAATTATTTAAAGGGGTTGAAATAACATGAGAAACAATTTTATATTGTTGGATGCATGAGAGATAAATTAAAAATTATTTTTTGGCCATGCATCTAATTGTTGGGAGGGGCTGCTACATTAAACAATTTTTCGAAGTGAGCATCATAATCATCATGTATAGATTCAAATTAACAGAAAATAATAAATCAATAAGAGATTGTACATTTTTACCTGCCAGCATGTATAGATTCAAATTAACAGTAAATAATAAATCAATAAGAGATTGTACATTTTTACATGCCATCGTGTATAGATTCAATTTCACATAAAAATAAATAAATCAATATGAGATTGTACATTTTTACCTCTTTCACCATATAGTGCCAAAATTAGGACTCCTGACTAGACTTCAACAAGGACAATAAATCCAGAAACCCAATGCACATTTGGACTATCAAGAAGGGGCTAACACTCTAACCAATAAGTAGATGACCAAAAAAAAATTAATCTTACTTGCTGAAAATATTCTCTTCTTTTAACATTACCAGCATCGTCTAAACCAAAATGAAACTATTTCTTCATTTGCTTGCTTCCGTTATCATCGAAAAGAACAATAACTTGTACAGTAATTTTACATTCTTGTGCACCCCCACCATTTTTGTGTGTCACGCAATGATGATTGAGGGCTAGTGAAAACACAAGAAATAAATAAGGCGAAGGGATGATAATCTCACCAAGCATTTCATCATCATTACTTGATGGCACACCATCACACCTTTGAGCCGTTCCCCACTGCATCCTATAACATGTATTATGTTCAATGACAGGCCGTTTACTCCAATCTCCTTTCAGTCGTGGATTCAGGTGAAGGATCTTTGGTGGATCCTCACCATCGACTGCTTTCAGCCCTTGCAATTCAACCATGAACTGTGAAACCATAACCATAGGATCAGCTCCCACCTTCAGAAGTTGGGGTACATACTCCTGGTGAGCATGATGGGGGGTTCCAATTATTGTAATCGATGAACCTGCAGCAAGTCCACAAGGAAGGAACATGATTCCATCTCCCTCCAACATCTTTTTCCCATCCGTAGATATCCATGAAGGACATGTCTCGGGCTTTCCCTCGAGTATAGAACTTTCTGCAGTCTCATCTAAACCAAATTTATCCACTTCTTCCCAAGCCTTCAAGCCTAATGTCCAAGCTTCATCTGCCAATTTCTCGAGCATAGAAAAGTCATTAGTATGGTTTTGATGACTCAAAATTTTACCAGTTATCCGACCGTATTTATGTTTAATTGGCTTGATGGGTCCGGACACATTATTCACATCTTCCAGTGGCTCCTTTTTAGGCGTCACCGGTGCTTCCCTGTTTTGGTTATCTTCCAATTTCCGATGAAACGTATCCTTGTAAACAGAACTCAACGATGCTCTGCTAAAATCCACACCTTCACTGTCCCCTCCGATTGTCCCATCCAACCCGACATTACTTTCATCCCCGCTCAACGTTGCAGCAATTTCCAAAAAACGCGGAAACTTGAATGATATGAAAACTAAATACAACACTCCAATTACGAGAAGAAGATGCGACAACCTGAGCCTCCGCGCACCCGGAGGTTCGGTTTTAAGCTTCTTCATCTACAAAAATACCTAACAACAGGTTCAAACGTACTATACAGCTATCATAAATTACGCATACCACCCATTCATCCGACCCACCGAGCCTTCAGCCTAGCTGCACATCCAACATTCGGACGCGGATCAACACGATGCAATATGCCAACCAAAATCTCATCTACGGCAAGGCCACGCACAGGACCGGAGATCGAATGAATGTGAAAGACAGCGTCTAGGAATCACGAAGATAACCAACACATTGCGATCGGAACCTCTGAAAAGTGCTGGAAATCCCCTAAATTCACCGGGATGCGTCGCCTCTTTAGGGGATTTCTCAGTCTTTCCGAATAAACCCTATATTTGGGAATGCGTATCAAGAGACAAAATATGAAGCCAATCGACAAGGGTGCGAACCACCAAGAAATCGCCGAAGATCAAGTAAATGGGGGAACAATCTGGGTCAAGGAACGTAACCAGAAGTCAGGATTGAAATATAAAAATGGAATGTCGCATGAAATCACCAAGAAATCGGAAAAGACCGAGAGCGAATGGAATCCGTGATATTAGATTATGATTTGAAAATAAGAACAACTTCCAAAAGGATTGATATGCAAAACAGAACAACTTCCACTAAACTTGTGGTTGGTAGGCTACAATTCGAATTTTTGACAAAAATTACATCTTTCTTCTTCGGTCTTCCCACCCTAGCAAATTATTTTGGTTTTCAACCGTCTATCCACTTTTTCTGTGTTGGTATTGGTCCAATTTTATATTTTTATATTTTATTCTTCCCATTTTAATATTTTCCAAATTTCTATCTTTATAGCTAATATATAATTTTATAAACGAGAGGAATAAATGACATGACATGTGTCTACCTATAGATTCGAATATTTGTATTATCTGTCGAACTATGTTTTAAGTTTCAACGATATAATTATGATTGTTACATATACGCAGGATCGGATAATTTATTGGTCATCCGTCGGTACTTGTGGATTTAAAGGTACGAGAAGAGGGACATCATTTGCTGCTCAAATCGCAACAAGAAACGCTATTCGAGTTGTAGTGAGTCAGGGTATACTACAAGCAGAAGTCATGGTAAAAGACTTAGATATATAAAGAGATGTAGCATTAAGAGCTATTTATAGAAGCGATGTACTCTTAAGTTTCATACGAGATGTAACCTTATGCCACGTAATGGTCGTAGACTCCGTAAAAAACGACGTTTGTAAAATAAACATTGAATAGAAAATTCAAGAGAAATAAAAAAAAATGATTTGATCAATAAAATAATATTATGGTTCAACAAAAATAAGAATATTTGTAAATATTATGGTCCAACGCCATGTAGATAAATTCGCAACTAATATTTGAGCAATTTTTCAATCTTAATCCGTCTGTAGAATTTTAAAGATTCAAATCCTATCTTCAATTTTTTATAACTTTGATTTATGTTATTACTTCAAAACGTCCGCTTTAGTCTCTATTACTTTTAAAATTTGACCAAATTAGACATTATTTACAAATTATAACACAAATTGTATACACGGTGAAAACTCTTTGATCCAAAATTATTGTTAAAATTCAATAAATATATAGTGAATTAAGTGTCGTGCTAAAATAATTATCAAAATAATTTATATAAAAATAGAAATGAATTGACGATTTGGTGTTTTAGAGCCATATTTGGAGTTTTACGAATTTACCTTTAACTCTTTAATACCAAATATGGTCATAAAAAACCATACATTTCAATAAATATTGTATTTTATGTATTATTTTTTAATTATTCAACGTGGGTGAGATTCAAATTGTTAACCTTCTATCAATAATACATACCTTACTTAGGTGAGATATGTTCGGTTTTTAATAAGTTTGTCAATGTTACACAATATTAAGATTCATTTACAAATTTAAAATCTTAATTGAGTTATTTATTACACCTATACATCGAATATTAAACTCTTGCTTCTTAAATACATTAGATGGCCCCACGCAAATCAATCTCTGATTGTCATGGCATAAACTAGATTACTTATATTTTATTATCCAACAACATGGAGTAATCAATGTCTAGAATTAATATATATATTTATTATTTATCTTTCAAAATTTGACCCATTGTCAACAAAATAATATTTATCCATTTAAATTACTACAATTTATTTGGCTCTCCAGTCCACGCGTAATCATGTTTTCAACGTACAATTAGTTATTTATTTTTATTTTAATCGTATATTTCAGTCGTGTCACATTACAATTTAATTGTTAAAATTTATTTGCTCGTTCAGGACACATGTAATGTAATCACGTCCTCGTGGAAAAATTAATTTATTTTATTGATGGTAATATATATACAATTATTCGATTAAGATATATATTCCAAGTCAATAAATCAGTTTAAATCTCGCCATAAACTAAAAACAAGTATCTGGATTAATTTTTAGTGTATTTGGTCATTCGTTCAATGCATAGTTAACAAAATAATTTATTTTAAATGTGATGTGTAACTTTTGTTGAGTTTAAAATACTTATTTATTGTTGCATTATCAAATTTGGTTCATTTTAGTCATTGTATTTTTAAAATGATAACATTTATCTATATTATTTCAACTTTGTTAATTTTAATTTGTGATAAAATCCACAAAATTCAAATCAATTTGAATTTGAAAATGGGAAGTAGCCATGTAACTGCTCTTTCTCTGGGTGTGTGAGTTAGAGAGATTCCTGAAAAAACATAAAGAAAGAACTTAGAGTTCTCGGTCTCAAAGTAAGAATTCATGCGGTGAATCGTGAGATTTTTTTGTTCGTGATCAATCTCCGACCGTGACTTCATTTTCATGAATTCCGTTGCGACGCTACAAGATGTTAGTATCATATCCCACGAAAACCCAACATAAACTATATAAGATAGATTGAGTACATGTTCAATCCATGTTTAAATAATCTTTCAAGTGGTTTTCTATTATTGTAAAATATTCAAATTAATATCCAATGTATTGTTATTATTGTTTTTTGTTTTTTCAATTTAGCCATTTGGACGTAAAACATTAAATTAATTGACAAACTAATAAGATAATGTTAAAATGCATTTTATGTTTGATTGAATGAAATAGAAATAGTACTAACTCATAATATTACAAATTTTATGACTTAGTACACAACTTATATGATATAAAACTGTCCATTATTATAAAGAGATAGCTTACCTAAAAAAATATTTGGTATAAACTAACGATTCTAAAGATTGCAAAAATTGCTATTTTATAATTTACATATGTTCTTTTAATATTTAGTGATTGTAAATATTTAATTTAAGAAGCTTCGGTCGGTAGGTAGTGTAAGAAAATGAAACTTTTTAAAAATATAGACAAAAAAGAAAAAAAAGAAGTAAAACATTGAGGACTAAAATATGTATTTTAACTTGTAATATAATTACTATTTGATATTTATTAAACATTTACCTATTGCATTGACTACGATATTCGATATTTGTTGTAAATATATCGTATGTGTGTATATATACAATAGTTATTAGTTTATCCATTTTTATCAAATCATTGAAGTATTTTTTAAGCTAAAAAAAGTAATAAATACAAAATTATCAAAATTCAACGATTCAAATTATAACCTATCATATATATTTCAAGCGTGTATAATAGAACCTTCCAACATAGCAAAAGCTATATCRTCAGCGTAGCGCACATACCTAATTCTCCAAATAATTGAATTACTAGTTTGGGTAGGCTATCATCATCGAAGTTCAAGTTTAATTTAATTTTTATATTTTGATCAAACATCATAAATGAATCACATAATATAATCTTTATACCCACTTGAAAATTCACAAAATTCCAACATAGCATATCTCGAAACATTATCGAATACAATTAGTCAAACCAGAAAACGTAACTCCATAATTTAATAGTCAAAATATTTATAACTCCAAGGACTATATGTACAGATGTCCAATTTATATTCTTTTAATTAAAATATATGTGGGGTGGAAACTTAAAACTTTTGTTCGAGACTAATTTAATTTTTATCTCGTGATACAATATTAAAAAAAGTCGCTGATGTAAATTTAAAATTAAATTGAAGGTATTAAGTTAAATAAAATTCAAAATTATGAGTATCATATTATAACCGTTAAAATTCAAATAAATAACTTGAAAATGTGTAAAAATAAATTGAAAAATGGTAATTTAACCTAAAAAAAAAAAAAGAATTGAGACGATGATTTAGAGCTGGAACCCTTTCAACCTTATCCACTTCAAAATTTAGTCGCATTCATTTCATTTCCTTTGCCTCTCGGGGCGCCAAAAACCTCCGCTTAAACCTCCGGTGCCCGCTCCTGAAAATCTCAGAGCACCGCCGTCGGAATCCCACCGGAGCTGACTGCCAATCGAACTCTTTTTGGTTCATCCTCAATATCGACGTTGTTGAATTTCTACATCCAACTGTGAGTTTTGCATCCCTGACCTCTTTTTAATATGCGTGTAGCATCTCAATTATGGTAAAAAGGACGATGAATTTTCTGTTTGTTACTGGGGAAATCTGAGGTGAATGAGAAGTTTTCTGGCTTTAGAATGATCGCGTTATGAGTGTATTTTTTCGAAAGAGTCGCCAATAGCAGAGAATAATGGTGTTATTCTTGTTTTCCTATGCTCTGTGCTATTTTGTAGTATTGTAATGAGAAAATATGTACAGGTATATATACGTTTCTACTGGGTTGGAGATGGCTTCTCTATCTACTCCACGTCTTTATCCAGGTGTATACAGATACGTTTTTTTTTTTTCAATTTTAAAATCGATCAAGTTGAACTTGTTAATTTGTGATAAGCCACTTAATAAGGGATTGATTCCTAACATTCGAAAGACATTGAACTGCAGATAGAGGACGGAAGGGAGTATCTTATACAAAAGGATATACTGGAGGGAAACCTTTTCCCAATTACCCGCAGGTTTATAGTGATCGAACTTTCTTATTTTGTTTTGTTTGTTTTTTGTTTTTGTTTTAAGGGTGGGGCTACAATATAAGGTAGTTTATGTTTATCTTGTCATGTTTGCAAATTTTTTTTTTAAAATTTTTTATAGTATAAGAATGGTTTCTTCTTGGCTCATATTTTCTGCCACCGTCTTGACACAGCATAATTTGCTGTTGAACATCCAGATACCGTTTGTAGGTTCATTTCCAGCACGATTACTGCTGGTTGGAAATACATCGAACAAATCACTGCGGAGAAATCAGTTGGTTCCTTGCATTAAGTGTGAGAATAGGGATGAATCCTATGAAGATGTTTCGGTTGAGCGAGCACCTTACTATAGTTACATGGACTCAACTTCTGGGCAACTTGAACCAGCTTCAGGGGCACGTGCAAGTATTCCAGGAGAAGAATACTGGCCAGAAGGAACTGCTAGTCGTGTTAGAGCTGCAAAGGCTCCTGAACCAACTGGTACATCCGTGGGATCTCCCTCTTATGGCCAAAATCCTGGAAGTAGGAGAAAGAAGAATAGAACACTAGCAGCTGTTGCTCATGATTCATCCGAAGTAACTGAAGTAGATTCAAGTGAGCCGGCGATCCCTGACATTTCTGAGGATTTAATAGAAGAGCCTAAAGATGCTACTTCGCAGTACGTTGTCTATCAGACAGAACCCGATGAGGAAGAAACTGGGTTTGAATTAGACAAAAAACTTGGAAATCCTCACCCATTCATCGACCCTGAAAAGAAGAAGCCAATAGAGGAGCCACGTACAAGTGAAGAACTTTGGTGGAATTGGAGAAAGCCAGAAAAAGAACAATGGTCGAGGTGGCAAAGGAGGAAACCTGATGTTGAAACGGTTAGTCCATATGGAAAGAAAAATAATAGTTAATGTTGAACAGTGATTTAGCGCATGTACTAACCTTGATTGCGTTGAGTGGAATTCGAATTTGTCAATGCAAGGAATACCTTGTGATGCAAAATATATTGAGGACCATAAACAATAAGTGTCGATAAAGGATTTGAGTCATAGAAAAGCAGTATAAATTAGGATCATAGATGAAATTATTTTAAAGATTTTCTTCTTTGATCTAATTTTCTTTCATTTAATTTTGTTTAATTACTTATCTACGGTGCATCAACAACTTTTTTAAAATGAGAAAAAGTGTTTTTACATCTTTATCTTGGTCTTCTCCGTTTGTAATATCTGCAGGTTTTTCTCAAAGCAATGGCAGAGACTGGGCAGATAAAGCTCTATGGTGAACAGCCAACATTAACCGAAACTTCTCTGTACAGGGCTCGGCGACATCTTTACAAGGAAGAAAGGTATTTCATCCTTAGATTGAGTGTTATTATGATACAGAAGTTGACATTTATCTTAGTCAAGCATATGATGATATATCTTTTTAAAGTTAACTAGGATGAATGTAATTTGTAATTTTATAAAATTAAGTCTAGGTATGATGAATGATCATCTCTGAGCAGAATGAAACTCAAAATCAGATTCTCTTCTTGCTTATTTGGACCAGGCCTCCACGAGGCTCAAGGATATGGCTCATATTGCACTATGAGACACATGTGAAATCTTTAGAAATAAATTCTAAATTTGTGCACTGCTGTTCTTTGAGGTATATTTGAATAATCTTTCTGGGTTTCAAGCTGAACAAGACTGGAAATAAAATAGTATTTTCTGCATTTGTTTGGTCTAAAACTATTTTGCACTGCTGTGGTTTAGGAACATTTTGTTTACTTATGTGGTTTAGGAACATTCTGATAATAATTAAATTCTATCTTTTCAGACTTCAAGCTGAACAAGAGAGATTGGAAAGAATAGGTCCCGTAGCATACTACTCGGAGTGGGTCAAAGACTGGAAGAGGGACACCTCAAGGGATGCCATAAAAAAACATTTTGAAGAGACTGGGGAAGATGAAAACGCCCAAATGATTGAAATGTTCCAAAATCAAACAGAGAGAGAGTTCCGCATTATGATGGGGACTGATATCCGCATTCGCAGGGATCCTTTGGCAATGCGTATGAAAGAAGATCAGATAAAGCAAAGTATCCACTCCAAAGCTGATAAGTTTGTGCGGTATTTCAGTTTTATTCATTGATTGTCATGTTGCTTTGTCATTGCAATATCTCACACAAAATTCTTTCCAACAAACCATAAAAAATTTTCTTTCATCCTATTCCTTCTCTAATCTCTTCAAGTACATGTTTCCATATTTTGGTTTTGATGGCATTTTCCACCAACTTCTTTTGGGTTTATTTCTCCATATTTCTGATGACTTGAATTTCAAAAGACTGTTACTATCACAGTATCAATTATCAAGTACTTTCACTTCTGATTATTAGAATCGATGATATTCTTCTAGAATGTAAATTGCGTATTTTTAAAAATTTCCATCATCCGTCCATTTTTTCAGCAAACTAATTTAGTTTGTTGTTGGCCTTTACAGTATGGGGTGGAGATCCCGTGTACCCTACCATCAACTACATTCAAGATCCTAATGAAGTAATTGATTATAGGGGTCCAGATTTTCACGAACCAACACCTGACATGCTAGATTATTTGAAGGAGGTTACGTTACTTTGCTTATTGTATTTTCAAGTTTCTTTTCACTCTCTCCGCCAGAATTGTGTGATACAGTTAGGGAGTGAAGGTCACAAAAACATAAGTCACAAACATGCCATGCCAGAAAAAAAAAAAATTGTTTTGTTCATAGATTAAGCTTTGTGCACTTGTGGTGGTTTAAAGTTGCCATTACCCCCACCCCAGTGGTTGAGTGCTTGGATTGGCCGAGTGGATTAGGTACCACTCTCAGGTTCGAAACACCAAGTAGAAAGCTTAAAAAGGAAATCACTTGTCGTAATTGGGTAGCAGGGAGTAGGGTACATTCTGCTTTCTGATTGATTAGGGGGATGAGGCTGCTACCACATTTCTAAAGAAGGTGCTACTGCCTTAAATTATTGTCAAAATCTTATCTCAAGTTGGTTATACTCGGGTTTTACTAAAGCAGTCCTTAGCAATGAAGGATGAACCTTAGCTGGGATAATTTTATCATTGTTTTAAGAACACAAATTTCACTGTTTTTGGTTAATATCTATTCCTTGGATAATAATTTTTTTGTTCCACTTCTCGTCTAGTTCATTTCTTCGACCAAATGTCAGTTCTCTTCGTATATAATTCTTGTTAAGGACAAGAGTATCATCATATCCTCAAGTATTTTCACTATGGTATGATAATTTTCGCCGTGGGAATAACCCCAACAGCTTTGCTTTTGGTTTCACTCAAAAGACCTCATACCAATTGAGATAATTGTTCTTATCTATATACCATGGATCACTCTATTCCCTAATCAATGTGAGACTTTGTTTGTACACCTTGAAACCCCAACAATCCTCCCCTCGAATAAAGTGTCACTGGTATGTTGCCTCGAATAGTCATTCAACCTGCAAGTGATCCCCTGTATGAGAATATTCATTCAGCTATCTAGAAATTGCTTAAATAGAATATCATACACGATACAAGTTGATGCTTGTGATGATTTTGTTCACACTTGAGGTACTGACTTTTTTTTTTTTTTTAATCAGCATGGTAAAATTATATCACGAGAGGAGCTTGAAGAAATTCTGGCCAAAGAGAAAAATGAAGAGCTTGAGGTATTTATATTACAGCACCTGGCATATTGGTTCTTGCATGAATATACAAGTTTTATATAATATCCCATTCAACGAGAGAACTTAGAAATTATCTTTGGCTGCATGTCACGTCAACTTAACTAAGATGAAGGCAATTGTTAGCTATCTTTAGCTGCATCTCTCTCTCTATCTAACATAAACAAAACTAAAAAAATTGAATTGTTTTGACATCTAGTAACATAGCGAAAACCTCAAATGTATACCACGTTTCGGCCCATTGAGTATTTGTGGGGAAAGTTGGATAGAGAGTGGTCTAAGGTGAAATTTATTGTGATAATTGGACTTAAAACAGGAAGTTCTGGAATTATGTATTCTTGTAGCATTCATTATGATCGATGATATTTCTTCTCGTAAATAGTATGGCTCCATCTCTGGCATCATGTACAATTGTAACTATGACTCCATTTTTTAATCTTTGTGTAAAACAAACAGTTACCTTTCGATCGTTCTAGTAATACTCTTGTGAGCCCATGGTTGCAATCTATCTAGGACACCGAATATTCTAGGCATTTCCTCCTACTAAATGTGGTAGGTTTAGGTTTACGTTTAGGTGGTGGTCTTGGACATCAATGATAAGGAAATGAGTTGTAAAGAGAAAATGAGAGATGGATCATTCATTTAAGTAGAATGAGGAATACTCAAACTGATGAACGTTGAAAATTGATCTCATGTTTCTTATTTTATTCTCAATGTATTTTCTTTAAAATAGGTGACAGATATGGAAGATGCCATGGCCCAAGCTATTGATATTGGTGAAAATGACGTGAGTTCATGCTCCTTTCATGTTCTATTTTGTTATTTTTGTTGTTTGTCTATGATAATCTGGCATTGATTCTTCTAACAACATGATTTTCACTAGTAAAGTAAGCTTAAAACAAATTATTAAATCAGAAAATCAAATTACATCAAACACAATGTCAACTGTTAAAATAATTATAAAGAAAAGTTGTTTACTGACAACCAAAGATCTCTAAGATCAGACTCTAAATGAAGAACACAATTCAAAGCTGAATCGAATTCTTAAATTGAGACTCAAACTTTCACTGCTACCAAACTTTTTTTAGTGTTAATTTGATTTTCTGCTCGAGTCAAACATTTTTTTTAGTAGAAAACATATAATTTATTTATTAGTGGTAGCAGTTATTGTTTTAAAAAATTCATTATGTGAAAGAGGAAAAAAGTGGACATTAAGATTAGTTCACTCTCCACTGGAGTACCTTGGATGTAAGTCTTTATGCATGATATCAATTCTATTGACGATCCTTTCAAATATGACCAAATTGACTTCGTCTTTAATTGCTTTTCAGGATGGAGAGGATAGTGAGGTTGAGGGCGATGACGAGGCGGAGGAGAAAATCACACGCAACTGGAGTGTCTTGAAAAGTAGTCCTCATCTCAACAAGTCAAAGGTGATTAATCTACATTTTGTTCTCATTTTCTGGTCGTGTCGTGTTGGTTGTTATAATTCATATGTTTATTGTTTTTTCCTTATCATGCATGACCCAAATCTATAAAGAATGTGATTTGGAAATCTCAGTCCTCATACCGAAGCTATAGAATCGTCAAAAGATTATATTGCTTTTCAGAAAAATTTGAGCATGAAAAAACTTTGATTTCGATCCTGCATATTTTATCAGTTTGAGCTGCAAAAGAAAAGTAACATGTTTACGAGGAAAGAACCTAGAATACAAGTCTCATATTTAATTTTTCAGTTGAAGTTGCTAGGATGCCGTCCTTCAAATTTCGAGATAATTCTTGGAGTGATAGATTGTTGATATTACACTCTTCATAATTATGTAAAAACGAAAGATATATAGTTATAGGTTTTTGTGCATATGATTCAAGCCAGCTTTCATGTGCTGTAGTTAGTCATAAAGCCTAAAGAAAATTTAAATTGCCAAGAAATTCAAACGAATAAACTATGAGACTCTGGTAGTAGGTTCTCTGGAATTTATCAATAAGAAGTAATCACTGTTCAATTTTAGAAAAATAGCTAAATCTGGAGCTCAAATCGTCCAATACATCCTTAATAAACATGAAATCCAAACAACTATGTAATTGACATATTACTTTCTCTTCACTAGGTTTAGTTTTCCTTACTTGTGTTGTGTTATTTACAAATTTTAGATGAAAGGTATGTTTTTTACAACTTAAATGCATGTTTTTTATATATATTATGAATATGAAAATATTATTGATATATCCGATTTGTTATATTAATGAAGGGGAATCAATATTATGAATATTAATATATCAATAATATGCTTGATATATATACTTGATTTGATATACTATTGATATACCTAAAAATCTGAAAAGATAAAATTGGAATAACAAAAAAAATTGGAAATCAAAATTCAGATATTTTACCATATTCAGAAAACCAAAAGCAGCTATTGCCACCCATTACAAATTTCATAAAATAACAGTTGATTTTCCCTCGTGTTCTAAAAAGATGTTGCAAGAAAGAATTACGTTGGCCCAACTTTATATGTGTATATGAAATTGCAGGGGAAGCCCAAAAAGGAAGATCCAGCATCACTGGATGGAGCCATTGATGAGTCTGAGAACTTGACTGATTTTCTTATGGACTTCGAAGAAGATGAGTAACAATTCTTTCCCTTTTCAACTTCTCTTCTATATATAAACTTTTTACTTCTAGAATAATCAATTCACTAGAGAAACCTGTTGAAGTGGAAGTGAATTTCTTGATCTGTCTGTTCAAAGTTTTGATTTCACACCAATGTCTAGCCTCCTAATATTTCTTGATAAAATCATTTATGAGCTCAGCTATTCAACTTGGTAATGTTTGGAAAACTTTTTAGCTTTTATTTTTCAAAAATTGTTTGTTCTTACTTTGTTTCCATGGATGGGCATGGCCTGCTTTCCATTTCATTCTTGGACCTTCAACTGGGCTTGAACACGAGTGAGTTTAATTGTGCCATTGTTTCATGGATTAGTCAATTAGAAAAAAGAACGAACAATTATATTTGGTTAATTGGAATATATTTGTTCTACTCTACTTTGAAGAAAAAAATATCACACACAATTTATGTATGGTGAAAATATTTTTAAATTTATTGTACTTTTTGTCTAAACAAATAAAAAAAATTTCTAAAAAAAACAAAAATAATAAAAAAATTTAGTCACTTTTTAACCACGTAAAAATGCTATATTTTCATCTTGCTGTGAGACTAAGTTCAATTAGAATCAAACCACCTATGTCGTTGCGGTCCAATTTTTCTTTTTAAAATTGGACAACACTTCCTCTTGAGATGTATGTCAATTACTGTCAAGCTATGCTCGCTTTCGTATAAAGATGATAAATAAATCTACATATGTAGAGTATTTATACCCAACATGTACCCACAATTTATGGGTTTCCAACAATCTCAAAAACACCATCTCAAGTTGGTGTCAAATAGAATTAAAACTACACCTCTAAATCTAAATCTTTGTATTGTATATGATAAAAATCTTTGAACAGCCATTTTCAAATCCATTATTAAATTTCTTAAAAAAAAGTTACATTACTAAATGCATCATAATTCAAGGGTCAATACGGAATTAATAAAAAAAAAAAAAATCTCAAACTATGAGTTTGGTTATAGGTATTATTAACTATTGAATTAGCTTCAACTAAGTAAGTCCGTGGAAGTCCATTATAAAAGGATCAACAACACGAAAACTTTATTATCATTATCCATTTTCTTTATCAATCGAGACTTAGAAAAATGGTTGTGACAATAAACATCCATTTCGTGTACCTGGACAACTATCGAACTATGGAACAAGTCTCTCTATAGAGCTAGGTTATCTCTTTCGAGCATTTACAAGAGTAGCCATGATGGTGCTTTACATAATTTAGGGAAGAAAAGTGGAAATTGAAAAGGATGGGAAAGAATAAAGCATTAATATGATGTAAGCAAATTTGCCTCTTTTGATTTCGATTTTCAATTTTTGAACTTTTTTTTAATAAAAAAAAAGCTGCCTTTAATGGAACTTTTGTTTTTTAATTTTTTTTTGACATCATTGAATATTAATGATATGTTTTTCATGAAATACTAGAGCTATCCATCCCCTAAACTAAAACCCATCCCTTTATGCTAAATTTGCCCACACACTCCATGTTCTCCAATTAATAAAATTTACAATTTTAAGGCATTAGTCTCTGTTAATTTTGCATTAACAAATTTCCCTTTTTCAAAATTTCAATACATTCTTCATCATATGTCATTTCAGTTAATCTTTTGAAACTATTAGACATCTTGTATTTAGTAATATGGCACAAATTTAATTTGTATTTAACTATTTCTTACCCCCAAAAAACATATAAATTACAAAAGTATTATACCAAAGGGGATGTATATATACGTGTGTGAAACTTAAATGTAATTAAGCACATTTAAAATAAGAGAATTTTTGGGATATTTAGAAATATAAAAAGATAATAATAATAATAAAACAACCATTATAATCAAGTTACAAAAAGAAAAAAAGGATATAATTTAAAAGTATGTATAATATATATATATATATATATATATATATATATATATATATGAATTAGGCCATGATTTCTTTTTAAATAAGAGGAACAATTTGATGGCTCATTAAAATTAACAATTTCACAAATAAATAATGAATAAAAGGGACATTATATTATAAAATAAGTGATGTTACTTGTACCAAACCTATGTGCCTTGGAATTGGCAGCGTCCATACATTCTTATTTTTTACTTAAAAAGAAATATTCCAAATCCATCTTTAATTATACCTAAAAAGTTGTTCAACTTTGATTCCCATGTGGAGAAATTTACAAATACCCAAATTTATCGATTCATTTCTAATAAAAATCCAAAATATATGTATATTTTAAACAAAAATTAGCACCCATCAATGATCAATTAATCGTTATTATTCTTGATATATCAATCATCTCTAAAATCTTTAAAGAGATAGATTTCATTTATTCATTGTCTTGTTTAATAATGTTAATGATCAAATCTTGCTACTCTTTTACTCAACTATATGTTCGTTCGTAAGGATTGAAAATTTGTAATCACACTAAAAAAAAGGTAATATTCTTGAAATGATAGCTCTTAAATGTATCCATTAGATTGATTAGCATGGATTTTTGGGAATAAATATGCCATTTTGAGCATATAAGAAAGGGGGATTAGATTGATGGAATTAATTAATGCAAGGAAAGAAGAAAAAAGAATTAAGGGATTTGACTAAGCAAGAAAATGATTAGCAATAATGGGGCATGTTGGTCTTTTTCCTCACTAAGCTTGATGATGATATAGAAATGATTAGAGAGGGAATTTGTCACCAAAAACATAAAAATTGGATTTTCTTTTTTTAATTTTTTTTTGTGTGCGCTAATTTGAAAGTTGTGGGTTCTGTTTGGAAACTCAATGTCACCCAAAACATGATCAAGAAAAAATCTTAACACACTGACTTCTTTGCTTTCTTGTTTTCTTGCTCTCTCTCTCTCCTCTCTTTCTCTCTCTCTATTGTTCTTGCCTCTTCATACAAAAAGGAGATGAACAAGAAAAAAGTTTTTTTTAATTGAAAAAAAACCCTAAAAAAAGGAGACAAAAGTGGAAAAGGAACTTCTTTTACAAACCCTAAATGGATTCTATGTTTGTTTTTCCCTTTCAACTTCTTCAAGGAGTGTTTGGGAAGAAGGGTCTCATTAATAAGTAACATTATTTGACTATGAATGGATTAAAACATATATTATCGACTTAAAAGGCCGGATTTTTTTTAACCCTTCTCAAGTTTTATATACCTTCGTATCAATGGAGATCAATTTTTGGGCTCCCTTGACAAAGGCCTACAAAAATGAAATTCTATTGTGTTTTAATTTTTTATTCTTCATCAATATATTTGAAAAATTTTAGGAGAAATAACTTTTTTTTTCTTGTTTTCATGTCTACATTTAGTCCAATAAATAATATTCTTAAAAAAAGAAAAAATAAATAAAAAGAAAGAAAGTTAGAATCATAACTTTATGATGGGAAGGATAAGATGGTAAGCGAAACTAAACAAAAAAAACAAATTAGAGAGATTGCACTAATTTTATATTTTTTTTTTGTTTTTGAAAAAAAATTATTTTTTTTACTTATATCCAATAAAAAATATTCTTTAATAACCACGGCGTCGACAAATAACAAACAGAAATAAATAAAAAAACTACAAAATGAGAAATAACTATTATTTATTTATTTAACATATCTAAAATTCAATCTATCTCAAACGTACTAAAAAGAAAAATTATTAAGTAAAAATGTGTAAAACAAGAAAAGAGAGGGAGATGAAGACAAAATTAAAGGCCTTAATTAAGGACTAAATAGAGTAATCAAGAAAAGGAAAGTGGAATTGTGGATCTTAATTAAATTAATTTTCTTATGTAACAAACAAACAAAGAAACATGATTAAGAGAGAGAGGGCCCCACATGATGGCTTTAGAGATGATTTGTTCTTCCAAAAACTTTAGTTATCAGTCGTAAAGTTGTGGCTAATTGGCATTTGATTCTCTCTAATTTTCTTCTCTAAGGGATAAATATTGCTTTGCTTTTTTGGTTGGTGGCATGCCCTCCTATTTCATTTCAAACGTGCACGTATTTACTTCCATGCACATTTTGACATCCCTATCCGTGTCGTAAATATCTCTCCAAATCTAAAACGATGACAAAATAAGATGAATATTGATGACTTTGATGTCGATATGTTATAACTCAATAGTTAAGACGTTTTAACTTTCTTTGAACAGTTTTATGTTTAAAATATGTTTGGATATCCAATATGCTTTTATTTTAATTTTTTATGTATGTAATTATTTTAATATGATAACTTAATTAGGGAGAAAATTTTGAATTCTTGAATGGTTAATATAATTTTCTAATCTAAGATCAAGACAATTGCGTCATTCTGTGCTCCGTCTCATAGTTGAAAATAATCCAGTGGTAGAATTCAATTTTTATTTTAATTTATTTTTCAATCAATAAATGTGGGTTATTTGTATTAAGATACCTTAATTTATTATCTTCGATATTATAATTTGTTTGGTAGTTTCAAAAAAATATGAAACTTTTTATGTGAAATCAAAATCTTGAAGAGAAAAAAAAAGTGTCAAATTTTTGTATCCAATGGAACTAAAACTTACCCCGATAAACCAAATGTTTTCTTTATTTCNTTCTTTTTTTCTTTTTCTGTTACTCAACTGGATCAACATGACAAATAGTAAAGTTTTTTTTTCTTTTTTCCAACATCAAAGCTAAAATAAGTGCATAGGCCAAGAAAAAAAATTACATAATTCTTTCAAATAGCACTTCCAAAGTAATTCCCAACCTCAATTTCATTGGTGTAAAAGATTGGTCAATGGCGTGATTGCTGCGAATATTGTGGTTCGAGAAGGAGAAGACGTGTAGATGGAAGAGGTACCCGACGCTCTTTAAAGATTTTAGTGTCAAATCTCCGTAACATATCTTCATAAATTTTGATGACATATGTAATTTTTGTTTAGATTTTTTGTTGCACTACTGTTAAAATAATCATTAATCATTTTGAGTTTTCAAATCTCTCTCCTAATATAGTTTTTCTATATATAAAAATCATACCTTTAAGAAATTTAGCGAATCCTATACCTCTCCAATCACAAAAATATTTAATTTACTTGAATGAGAATTTCTACATATTTAAATATACTTTAGAAAATAAGTGTACAATTACAAACGAAATAATCTCTCGCGTTAAAAATATTTTAATTAAGTTCAATTAAAGAGGAATATCA